TCCACATGCATGTGTATTTCAGTGGCTTCTCTGTATAGTCTGACATGGTGGTTGTGAGAGCGGTCCAGCATTTCTGTGTTCTCAAATAATATCCTGTGTCCAGGTTGGTTCTGGTGCTCTGCTATGGTATGTTCTCCTTCACCTCATTTCACAAATCCAGTCAGTAATATAGTTACTGTTTATTACATAGAGAGAGAGAGAAACCGGAAAGAGCTATAAGATACAAAAGCAAATTGTAGGGAAAGTTTCTCTGACAAAATATCAGGCCTGCCATTTCTGTTCAATCTGTGCACATTCGATGTAATTTTCCAAATTGCCACCAGAGGCTGATAGAGAACAAATGAATGTGTCCAGTTTCTTTGGTAGTTGGTGGGTGATCTATTCAGCCCAGGAGAGGTTTGGATTCAATATTTTTGAAAAGGAATACAAATTATGTTTTTATTTCAATGCCCTTGGGGAAACTATAAATCTTGGGGGGGGGGGGGTATTGTGTTCGATAACAGCATGACTCCAGTATGGGTGTCATTTCTCACTTCTGGATATAGTTTCAATAACATTCTCTTCACACTTCTATAATAATATAATGTAATATAATATAAAGTATGTACATATAATATTTATAATATTATAATGTAATATAGTATAATGCTAATAATAATAAGATATAATTATATATTTTATATTACATGTAATATTACTAATAATATTACAATATAATTGTATAGTACAATATAGAATCAAAGAGTTGGAAGACACCTCATGGGCCATCCAGTCCAACCCCCTGCCAAGAAGCAGGAATATTGCATTCAAATCACCCCTGACAGATGGCTACCCAGCCCCTGTTTAAAAGCTTCCAAAGAAGGCGCCTCCACCACACTCCGGGGCAGAGAGTTCCACTGCTGAACGGCTCTCACAGTCAGGAAGTTCTTCCTCATGTTCAGATGGAATCTCCTTTCTTGTAGTTTGAAGCCATTGTTCCTCATCCTAGTCTCCAGGGAAGCAGAAAACAAGCTTCCTTCCTTCTCCCTGTGACTTCCTCTCATGCCCAGCTCCTAAGGACCCCCGGGTAGCGCAGTGGGTTAAACCCCTGTGTTGGCAGGCCTGAAGACCGACAGGTCGCAGGTTCGAATCCAGGGAGAGGCGGATGAGCTCCCTCTATCAGCTCCAGCTCCTCATGCGGGGACATGAGGGAAGCCACCCACAAGGATGATAATCACATCAAAATCACCCAGGCATCCCCTGGACAACGTCCTTGCAGACGGCCAATTCTCTCACACCAGAACGACTTCTGACACGACAAAAAAAAATGTCCCGCTCCTTAAGCCGCTCCTCATAGGGCTTGTTCTCCAGACCCTTGCTCAGCAGTGGAACTCTCTGCCCCGGAGTGTGGTGGAGGCGCCTTCTTTGGAGACTTTTAAACAGAGGCTGGATGGCCATCTGTTGGGGGTGCTTTGGATGCAATTTTCCTGCTTCTAGGCAGGAGGTTGGACTGGATGGCCCATGAGGTCTCTTCCAACTCTAGGATGCTATGATTCCTGCGTGAGGCGACAAATCCTCACTAATATTGGAACAGCACTGGTTAGTACTTGGATGGCAGGCCACCAAAGGATACAGGAACTGCAGGCTCTGAAACAGGGATACTGACAATAGCACATCCGGGTATTCCTCGTTTGAGAGCATCCCATGAACTCCAAGCAAACGGCACACAAACTTGCAGTCCGCTGGGGATTTCTTCCCGCCTTCCGAGAGACCGCCTGTTCTGATTGGTGGAGGAGTCCTCCGCTTCCACCAATCCGCGCGGGCAGAAAAGCGAGCCAATGGAGTTCTGCTTCGGAGTGCGCGTCTCCTATAAAAGAGCCCGGTTGGGCACGTGGGCGTCAGTTGGCAGCCGCATGAAGTGGAGGTTAGGGCTTGTGGGTTAAGGAAAGGGTTTGGTGATGAGATTCGCTGAGGGAGGGAGGGAGTGAGTGAGGGAGGGCAAGAGGGAGGGAAGGGACACACTTGCTGTCTTCGCGAAGGGTATGTTGTGATTTTTTTTTGTATGTGGTGAGTTTTGGGAGAAAAAAAAAAGCTCAGTGTTGGCTTCTAGGGGCCCACTCTTTAAGAAAGAAGTACAGAAGAATGCCAAAATGGGGGCAAGTTGGAACGTGGGGTGAGGCCAGGCCTCACTATTATGGCCAGGATATCCAACTGAACTATTTCCCTTCTACCTTGAATTCTATGGCTTCATATTACAGAGTCCTAGAGTTGGAAGAGACCTCATAGGCCATCCAGTCCAACCCCCAGCCAAGAAGCACCCCCGACAGATGGCCATCCAGCCTCTGTTTAAAAGCCTTCAAAGAAGGAGTCTCCACCACACTCCAGGGCAGAGAGTTCCACTGCTGAACGGCTCCCACAGTCAAGTTCTTCCTCATGTTCAGATAGAATCTCCTTTCTTGTAGTTTGAAGCCATTCTTCCGCGTCCTAGTTTCCAAGGAAGCAGAAAACAAGCTTGCTCCCTATGACTTCCTCTCACATATTTATACATGGCTACCATATCTCCTCTCAGCCTTCTCTTCTTCAGGCTAAACATGCCCAGCTCCTTAAGCCGCTCCTCATAGGGCTTGTTCTCCAGACCTTTTATCATTTTAGTCGCTCTCCTCTGGACACATTCCAGCTTCTCAATATCTCTCTTCAATTGTGGTGCCCAGAATTGGACACAATATTCCAGGTGTGGTCTAACCAAAGCAGAATAGAGGGGTAGCATTACTTCCTTAGATCTAGACACTATGCTCCTATTGATGCAGGCCAAAATCCCATTGGCTTTTTTTGCCGCCACATCACGTTGTTGGCTCAAATTTAACTTGCTGTCCACAAGAAGATCTTTTTCACACGTACTGCTCTCGAGCCAGGCCTTATCGTCCCCCATTCTGTATCTTTGCATTTCGTTTTTTTTCTGCCTAAGTGGAGCATCTTGCATTTGTCCTCATTGAACTTCATTCTTTTAGTTTTGGCCCATCTCTAATCTGTCAAGATCATTTTGAATCCTGGGAGTTGTGGTTTGAAATGACTTCAGCTTTCTCTGCTAAAGACTGCAGGTGCCTTCCAAAACTAGAGCCCCAATCCCAGGATCCCATAGCATTGAGCCGGGGCAGTTAAAGTGGTGTCAACTGCACTGATTCAACAGTGTCCATCAGGCATAGGCGAACTTGGGTCCTCCAAGTGTTTTTGACTTCAACTCCCACAATTCCTAACAGCCTACTGGTTGTTAGGAATTGTGGGAGTTGAAGTCCAAAATACCTGGAGGGCCCAAGTTTGCCCATGCTTTGTAGGGATGCACCCCATGGCCATAGACTTGCAGTCAAACAGAGTCCCTGGGATAAAGGGCTTGTTGTTGCTGGACTACAACTCCCATCAATCCTAGCAACTCAGGCAATAATGCAAGGATCATAGGTTGGAGACTGATCAAAAGCTTTGTAACATCTATTTGTGCCACCTCTATTACAATATTAATATTTAATTTTACAGTATTATTTACTTATATTTATTTATACTCTGCCTTTCTCCCCCAGGCAGCTAACACATTTTGATTAATGTAAAACAAAGCGTGGTAGAGGCTCCTTCTCTGGAGGCTTTTAAACAGGCTGGATGGCCATCTGTTGGGGGTGCTTTGGATACAGTTTTCCTGCTTCTTGGCACGGGGTTGGACTGGATGGCCCATGAGGTCTCTTCCAACTCTAGGATTCTATGATTCTAAGTGAAAACATTTTTTTAAATAGTTCTGTGTGTCAAGTGAAAATGCATTTTCACTTATCATTTATTATATTGGTTTTGCATTTTATGTATTTTATTTTCTGGTTTTGTTATTTTTTATGTTTATGTTTTCTGGTTTTGTTATGTTTGTTATGTTGTTTGTTATTGTGTGTACTGTACTGATGGGCATGGCCTCATTTAAGCCGCACCGAGTCCCCCTGGGGGAGATGGAGTAGGGTATAAATAAAGTTTTATTATTATTGTATTTTTTAAAAATAGATTTTTAAAAAATTATATTTATTGGATCCCCTGGTGGCACAATGGGTTAAACCCTTGTACTGGTAGGACTTCTGACTGATATAGGTCAGCGGTTTGAATCTGGGGAGAGCTGGTTGAGCTCCCTCTGTCAGCTCCATGCGGGAACATGAGAGAAGCTTCCCACCAGGATGGTAAAACATTAGAAACATCTGGGTGTCCCCTGGGCATCGTCCTTGCAGACGGCCAATTCTCTCATACCAGAAGGGACTTGCAGTTTCTCAAGTCACTCCTGACATGACAAAAATGTATTTATTTTATTTTAACTGTTAAAACACACAACCCCCCCCCCCCAAAAAAAATCCCACCCCCACAGCATATTAAACATATTAATTTCTCACATTCAAGTATTGTGAGCAAGGTTATTTATTTATTTATTTAAAACATTTATATTCCGCCCTTCTCACCCCGAAGGGGTCTTAGGGTGGAGCACAACATACAAACGGCAAACATTCAATGTTTTAAAAGTAACAGAGGCTGGATGGCCATCTGTCAGGGGTGCTTTGAATGCAATATTCCTGCTTCTTGGCAGGGGGTTGGACTGGATGGCCCATGAGGTCTCTTCCAACTCTTTGATTCTATGATTCTAATAAAAATAAACCCTTAATCTGTCTGGTTGGCCTCAGCATTTTGGAATAGGATTATTTCTATGATCACCGAAATCTTCTGCTTTTCACTTCACAGAGGATAGTCTACTATAAGAATATTGACTTTTCTTCTATGTTTGGATGGGGCAGCTGTTTCATCTAGCAGGCCCACCTGTATTTTTAACTGAATCAAGAATATTTACTCTCCTCTCTTTAGAATATATACAGGAATCCCTTGTCAGACAAATTAGCAAGTATAGAGGTTTTTTTGCTGATAAAAAACAAAGCAGTGGTGATGAAACATTTGACACAGTCTACCATTTATACCAATGTGGCATATGCTAAAGTCTGTTTCTGTGATTTTTCAGTAACGGTGGAAGTACTGTCTAATAAGAAAGAAACTGGAAATGTGAATAGTTTGGATACATTGGAATTTGGAAGATGTAAGTTTTACCTACAAACTTCAAATGTTCTGTTACCCCATATATATTCTTCTAAGCCAGGGGTCCTCAAAGTAAGGCCTGGGGGCGGATGCGGCCCTCCAAGGTCATTTACCCAGCCCTCGCTCAGGGTCAACCTAAGTCTGAAACGACTTGAAAGCACAAAACAACAATAACAACAATCCTATCTCATCAGCCAAAAGCAGGCCCACACTTCCCATTGAAATACTAATAATTATATATTTGTTGAAATTGTTCTTCATTTTAATTGTATTGTTTTAAAATGTTTTTTTGCACTACAAATAATATATGTGCAGTGTGCATAGGAATTCATTCATGTTTTTTTTCAAATTATAATCCGGCCCTCCAACAGTTTGAGAGACTGTGACCTGGCCCTCTGTTTAAAAAGTTTGAGGACCCCTGCTCTAAGCGATGCTGTGCAAACCTTGGACTTTCCCATACATTGAACTTCAGCTTCCAGAATTCTTGGCCATTCAAGTTAGCTGGGTCTTTTGACAGCTGTGGAGGACAACCATTGCTTTAATGATTTTGACCCTACTCCTTCTCAGTTAAAGTATTTGATGTGTGTTAACACTGAGTTTTAGTTCTGATTGGTAGTGAGCAATTTCCAAAGAGCTAAGCGCCTCTTTTCCAAATGAATTTTCAAACACTTTCAGGAGCATTCGCCTGGTACGCTAGTAAGCTATTTCGGAAGTAAAAGTGACTGTAAAATAAGTTTGTACTATGCACAAATTGATCTTCATATCAAATCTGCAAAGTATGTACTCTTAATTAGATTATTTTGATGCAGCCATCATATTACTTACAAAAAAAAATGGTCTGCATCCTGTACACCAGGGGTCCTCAAACTATGGCCTGGGGGCCAGATACGGTCCTCCAAGGTCATTTATCCGGCCCTCACTCAGGGTCAGCCTAAGTCTGAAACGACTTGAAAGCACACAACAACAACAACAATCCTATCTCATCAACCAAAACCAGGCCCACACTTCCCATTGAAATACTAGTAAGTTTATATTTGTTAAAATTGTTCTTCATTTTTTGTATTATTTTAAGTGTTTTTTGCACTACAAATAAGATATGTGCAGTGTGCATAGCAATTCATTCATTTTTTTTTTCAAATTATAATCTGGCCCTCCAACAGTTTGAGGGACTGTCACCTGGCCCTCTGTAAAAAGTTTGAGGGCCCCTGCTGTACACCCTTACCTATTTATTATTTATTTACAGTATTTATATTCCACCCTTCTCACCCTGAAGGGGACTCAGAGTGGATCACAGAACACATATATGGGAAACAGGCAATGCCATTATACATTGACAAGACAGACAATTGTACATAGATAGAGGTGTATATGTATATATATGTTTGATAGTGTTGTTTTTAAATTGTTTTAAATTGCTTTTAAATTTTGTTAGATTTTAGCTATTCTTGTAAGCCGCTCCGAGCCCCAGGGGAGTGACGGCATATAAGTTTAAATAATAAATAAATAAATAGAGGGGGGACTTTTCCATCTTTGACATCTTGGAGGCTGTGCTCTGTTCCAGTCATGATGGGTGCTGTTGCTCCACTTTCTCTGCCAAAGAGCTTTCTTTGTAAACTTCCCCCTTGATCTAATTGCCAACGTTTTTCTGGCATTTCCTTATGGGTGCCTTAAGCGGTGCCTATTTATCTATTCACATTGCTGTTTTCATAACTACTAGGTAGGCAGAAGGTGGGCTAAAGGCCAGGAGCTCACCCTGACCCAAGCTTCGAACTGTCAGCCTTTTGGTTGGCAAGATTTACTGCAGCTGGCAGTTAACCTGCTGTGCTAAAGCCCGGCCCTATGAATAAGTCCCATGGAAAGTAGTTGAAATTCCTGGAAATAGGTGCAGTACATGAGATTGTATTGTTAAAGCGATATTTAAAATATTTATATTTAGAATGTAAATATAAAATGAAGTATTCCACTTGTGATTACCATGCTGCTTAGAATTACAGTATAAGTTTCAGGATTATTTAGCTGCTGATTATTCTTTTTCTATACATGTCTATTTTCCTTGCTTTCCAGGAATTATAATTGACATGCTTTTCTCCATGTCTTACACACATGTCTAAAATATGTCATGCCTACCTCATTTTAATGAAGTTTCATGGATTTTGTCTCCGTACTACACAAGAGGATGGTTTCTGGGAGATCAATCAGTTTATGACCAGGTCACTCATTTAGTGGTACCTTTGTACAGTCTTCCAAGAGCACCCATTTCAACTCTTGAAATCAGTGGCTGTTCGGCAAATCCATTCCCGGCAGTCCCACCTTGGTCACCTTGGTCACCTTGGTCACCTTTTGCTTTTAACCATCCTCAAAGGCAAAACAATTATTACAGATATGCTGCTGGTGGACTGAGTGCCACTGCTGAAACAAATGCTTGCAGAGCAGATACTCTAGAGAAGCACAATATTATTCAGAGTTCTTCGGGTGAGTTCAATTTTACTTTTGATTGATACAGCAGTTGTTTGTCAGCAGTGTGTAAGTATGGTAAGTGGTTTTGAGTAATTTAGCTGGAAAGTACTCAAAAACTGATTGTTTATGTTTGTGATGCCTTGTTGATGGTTCAAAAATTTATAATTTCGCAACCATTGGAAATCCAAAGAGATCCTGTGCTAATACTTTTTTACTTTAAGAGAAAAGTTTATGGAATTAGCCAATGAACTATATCAAAATACATAAGGTTTAATAAAAATATCTACTGTATATTCCGGCATATAAGACGACTGGGCATATAAAACGACCCCCAACCTTTCCAGTTAAAATATAGATTTTGGGATATACTCGCCGTATAAGACTACCCCTCTTCCAACACACACCAAATAAATAATTTAAAAGCATCAGATTTGATTTCAATATGGTAATTTTCCTATTACTGTACCTCCTTCTCTGCCTCTCAGATCTCGCACATGCGCACCTGCACCGCTTCACTGCAGTCTTCAGGAGCGAGATCTGAGAGGCAGAAGAGGAGGTACAGTAATAGAATACAAGGGCGAGTCAGACAGGTAAAAGAGGTGTGTTTTTCTGGGCCCAGAGCCACTTTATCTCTTTTTCCATACCCGGGCACCCCGGACTCCTGCAACTTGCTCTGCCCTTCACTTACACCTTCCCGGTGAGGCACCCCATCACCTCATCATCGGGACTGCATTAAGTCCACGAATCCTGATGAATGGATTTTCTTCTACCGTACTTGTACAGCGTCACCCTTAATACTTTCATACAGTAGCTGCATATGGCAGGGACATGGCCATTGCCATTTTTGAGCTCACCCCACCATATGCGGCAACCACAGATTCTCCAATCCAGATTGGAAGTTTCAGTACCTTGCATATAAGACTACTTCCGCATATGACAGCTCCCATGCATAAGGCTACTCCAGCGTATAAGACAACCCCCGTGTATAAGACTACTCCCATATATAAGACGACCCCTGCATATAAGGTGACCCCTGCGTATAAGACGACCCCTGACTTTTGAGAAGATTTTCTTGGGTTAGAAAGTAGTCTTATTCGCCAGAATATACGGTAATGTGTACCAACGTTGTAAAGAAAATGAAAGCTATTATTACTATTACTTTTTAAAACATTTTTTCTTTATTATAAAATTAGCTGCTTGGACTGCAGCTTCTCATCCTTTTGACCAATTGTAGTACATACTGCATACTGGGGAGGGGTGTATCTGAAAAGCAGAAAAATATTGTTTGCTTGGTGGTAAACAAATACATTTTGTTTTCCTCAAAGGAAGAAAGATATTTGGTGCATGTGCAGTTGAGTTAGTGCTCTACTGGTTCTCAACCTCCTAGAGGTGCAAAACACTTAGAAATATAACACAAAGTTAGAGGAAGAGGCAAGGTTTCAAAGCAAATGAAGCTCTTACTGTCTTTTATTTTCCCCTACCTAAAATACACAGAGTTCTCATTATTTTGAAATTGGATTGGTGGGGTTAGCTGCTCCCCTGTTTGTCTCATCATTTCACCTTGCCCTGGTTGGAAGTGCTGCTTTGATCCTTATGTGTGATTTCCAGCTTTAAAACAGATATGGGTAAAGTGAGGGTTGGGAGTGGCATGTAACCCTAGGTTTTTTGGGGGGTTTTTTGGTGGCCTTTACCTCCTCCTTCCCTTAGGGTCAAAACATTTTTTGTAAATATAAGGGTTGGGGGCATTTCTCTCATTTTTGGCCCAGGCCTTTCTCGCATAGCATGAAATAAACAACAACAACAATAATCTTTATTTCTATACTACCCTATCTCCCCGAGGGGACTCAGGGTGGTTTACAACAGAAATTTATTTATTTATTTATTTATTTATTATTTGAACTTATATGCCTCCACTCCCCTGGGGCTCGGAGCGGCTTACAAGAATGGCTAAAATCTAACAAAATTTAAAAACAATTTAAAAACAACAATATCAAACATTAAAAGCCTGTCAAAACAGGTATGTCTTACATACCCTGCAGAAAGCTGATAAGTCCCGAAAGGCACGGACTTCAGGTGGCAGGGTATTCCAGAGTGATGGTGCCACTGCTGTAAAGGCTCTGCGTCTGGTTGCTATTAGACGCAAGGTCTTGACACTGGGATTTTCCAATAAATCTTGGTCCTCAGAACGGAGGGATCTCTGGGGTTGGGAGGGGGTGAGACAGTCCCTCAGGTACATCGGCCCCAGACCATGCAAGGCCTTAAAAGTGAGTATCATCGCTTTGAAAGTGATCCGGTGCTCAATTGGTAACCAATGCAGCTGTAGTAAGATTGGTGTTATGTGGCATCTTATCGGAATTCCTGCAAGAAGCCGAGCAGCTGCATTTTGTACCAACTTGAGCTTCCGGATCACCGACAGAGGAAGGCCAATGTAGAGGGCATTACAGTAGTCCAGTCTTGAGATGACTGAAGCCTGGATCACCGTAGCTAGGTCGTCCCTGAACAGATAGGGGGCCAGCCGTCTAGCCTGCCGCAGATGAAAAATTGGCAAACATTCAATGCCAGCATAACATAACAAACAAATCAAATCATAAACAATAAAATAAACATCAGGTGTACTTATAGAACAACTCAAAAATAACAAACTTAAGACATTTAAATATGTAATTCAAAGATTTAGAACATGTTTGCTACTAGATTTAATGATAGCAAACACTCAAAACATTAAAAGTAAAAAGGCATTTACAAGTCAACAGGGCTGAAGTGGTGTCCAAGGCAGAAGCAATTAATGTGCTGGCTGAAGAAAGTTACTATAGGACCTATAGGATATTATGCCTCCCCATAATATCCACTTCGATTCTTTATGCCCTCTCAGAGATTCCCAGATCCTCACAATTAAGGAGTCTGAATACTGTTTAAGGACAGGAATGCAGCCCAGCTCTTCATGGGGGGGGTATAAACTGTAGTATGAAGTCCTTTGGGAAGCAGATGGGGGTGTTTTATCTCGTGATGGTAAGTGTCTCTATCCATGTTGGTAAAAGTCCTATAGTGCCAAGATCTTATTGATTGGCTGAACATAGTTGGATTGAAAAGCAGGCTCTGGGTCTAGTGCTGGCTGTTTTATCTGCTGCTGGCGTCAGGTGAGATGGCACAGCTGTGGGGGCCACACCAAGTATGTTTGGAAAGGCTGGCCCCAGGCAGGAGTTCTAAGGTAGAGATCTTTTGCCTTGCTTATACGAGGGGTATTTTTTAAGTAAGGTCCGTTGGAACATAAGTACACAATGAAAGTTTATTTCGAAAAAGTAAATTTATTTTCAGAAAGTACATACTTCACTCTATTTTTCGACATAGTTTGTTCAAACACTTATCATACCTCTGAACCAATTTTAAAATACCCTCTTCATAAAAACTTGCCGCCTGCTCCGATAACCAAGAGTTCACTGCCGTCTGTAATCAAAGAAGGGCGACCGGAGCGGTCCTCATCATGGACATTGTCACGGCCATCTTTGAATTGTCGTACCCACTTACGCACTTTGCTTTCACTCATAACAGTATCACTGTACACTTCACAAATCTGTCGATGAATTTCTGCAGCAGGCAGGTTCCTTGCTGACAAAAACCGTATCACTGAGTGAACCTCACATGCGGCGGGTGAGTTGATAGTCTTAAACATTTTTAAAGCACCGAACAGAACCGTACAGGTAGCTACAGAGTGGAAACTGAGCACAGTTGTTCCCGAGGCATGCCGATACACGCCGCACGCGCTCGTTGCGGTATGCGCGCGAACTACTAGTGTCTACAACAAACAAACCTTACTTAAAAAATACCCCTCGTATGATGTCACTTGCCTTTCTTCAGTACTCTTAATAAGGTTAACAGGGAATGTATGAAAATGAGAGAAAGAATTGGTTTTGACAAAAGGAAACAACAGAAATCAAAACTAAAAATATTTATTAAGGGTTGGGACAATATGGAGGAAATCAACCACCCAAGATAACCACTGCTTAATGTGCCTCTGAGGTCGAGTGTACAGGTTTAAGGTTTTTTTTTTTCATGACTGCAGTAAAAGTGAAGTGGAGGAGTTGAAGCCACTTCAATTTCTGAAAAGCGGCATTGAAATTGAGTGGAAATGGGTTGGTAATATAAAGAACTCCATAAGTATTCACTTAAAGCGAAGAAAATGGAGACTAAAAATAGTTTGCCAGTAAATGGTGGTGAAAAATGTCTGGGGGAGGGAGTGAAAGTTTGAGACTGCAATGACCCACCATATTATTTCTAAAGATTTGAAGACAGAGAAAATTGCCACTGCAAGGACAATAATGGGTTCAGTGTGCATTTTGACTCTTAAGGAGTTGAAGGTGATGGGCAGAACTGCATCAGAATACCGTTTCGGTGTACGAGCAAGCTTGCCTTCAGTTATGTCAGTGTGCTGCAAAGAGAAAGAGATGAAAGAATAGGCTTGGATCAGTGAACAAATTTACATGTCCTCCCAGCAAATTATGCTACAATTCATGTATTTATTGGTTTATTAATACAAAAAGCACAATTGATGGGCAAGCAGACCTATGCCAGAATTAGCGGTTTCTTACATACTGTGATAATTATAGTGTAATCATGCCAGTGATTCAAGGAGAAATTTAATTTTAAGTAATAATAATAATAATAATAATAATAATAATACTTTATTTGTACCCCGCTACCATCTTTCCAAGGGACTCGGTGCGCCGTACATGAGGCCGAGCCCAAATACAACAATACAAGCAATAAAACAACAATACAAGTAATTAAAATAAAAAATAAAAAGTACTTCCAGTCCTGAAACAAATAATATAAATTGATCAACTACTGTTTTCCAAATAATGATTAGGGAAATAGTGAGCAATGAGTTAAATTAATTGCTGCCAGGCACCAATGTTCAATCACAATTAAGGAAAATGGAACATGGAGAAACACTGAATTATAGAACAGTTAATTGCCAAGCAGGCTTCAATAAAATGGATGTATTAAATATTGTTAATTTAAATGATAATGAATTTGAAAAGGGTGTGCTTCAGTTGAGAAGGTACAGGGAAAACAGATAAGCCTCAAGACGCATATCTAGAGGAATTAATATACAATAGGAAAAGTAAAAACATGAACAGATAGCATTGTAAGTTTTGAGACAGAAAAATATAGAGAAAGTGTAAGAAAAACTAAACTTTTGCAAAATACAGATAAGTAATGAATGAGGAATGGCAGGAAAGAAGAGGGCTCATAAGGGAAGATAATTCTTCAAATGAGAACATGATAACCAAATACAGTTTGTTTCAATGTAAGTCCTTCAGGAGTTTACTAAAAAGAGCTTATGCATATTAGACTTACAGAATTCAGCTACCAGTTCACATTCTGAAAGAAGTAATGTGAAGGAAAATAGGGAAACATTAATCTCTGGAGAAAAAATGGTTCAGAAAACGGAAATTCCTCTACCAGAATGTTGAAAGATGCAGTGGAAAATAAGTAGGCAACGTCTTTCAATACAAGACTTTCAGCTTATAGTCTGATACACTCTATTGGTTATAATTCCACAGGATTTGCTGCATGTAGCATACATGCAATTACAGTTAGTATGAGATCACTGTAGTTAAGCCATTAGGAAGCAGACTGGAAGTCATGTACAGGGTGCAGCAGCATAACTTCCTTTTTTCAAAACTTAATAAAACCCATTGTATGAATCAGGAAAAAAAATTCCAATGTAGGCGCATACCTAAAGTTTTGTTTTACGTAGTTTTGAAGATCAAATTAGGTAGGTGACGTTCTCCATTCTCCATACACTGAGTAAACCGATTTCTGGCATTTGTCATGACTCTTGCCAACATAGCAGGCGTTATGTTGGCAATTTCTTCCTGGATGTTGGTCTTCAAATCTTGTAGGGTCCTTGGACGGTTCACAGAAACACGAGATTTTAAAAAAAACCCATAGAAAAAAATCACAAGGGGCCAAATCTGGAGAGCGGGCTGGGCACTCCAAATCCACTCGAAAAGTGGGCCTCAATGGCAAAAGCACGCTCCTCACTGTTCCAATGCATGATGGCGACTGAACTGTGTCAGGACAAAACTTTATACTCCCGCCTCTTGAACGAGACCACTAGCACTCAGCTACGTCTTCAACCGACTGAATGGCGCGCATTTTAAAAAAAGGAAGTTATGCTGCCTCACACTGTATTTTAGCAATTGTACCCTTTAAGGGGGAATTGTTGTTTGATATTATAGCATTGGATAAAGTATTAATTGAAAGTAAAGAATTGTACATGCCTAGAATTCAAAGAAAAAGATTTAATAGGAAATCGTTTTGAGGAGGGGTTTCATATGTTCCTTCTATTCATGGAGGAAAAAAAATCAAGAGCAAGCTTATAGGACACGATCACTTTTTGGGATACAAGGATCTTACCCTAGACAGAATCAGGGACTGGTTATATTCCCCAAAGTAGAAAGCCATAATACATAATATTGACAGAAAGATTCGGGGGGGGGGGGGGGGCGGGGGGAGAGGAAGATTACTGCTTTGAGGGAGATTGTGATTGAGCCTAACAACAAATCAATGGGCAATTTGTTGTAAACATTGTTGGAACAATGGGTGAAAATGTGGAATAAAGGATTACAATTCATGTTATGTTATAACTTGAAAGATAATTTCTATAAAATGATGTACTGAGTTTTATTGTTTTATTGTTTTGCTTGATGTTTTATTATTTGCTTTGTTTTACTGTTATATTTGTATGGTGTTGTTTGTTGGCGGCCTTGGCCATTGTAAGTCACATCGAGTCCTTCGGGAGATTTTGCGGGGTATAAATAAAGTTAATAATAATAATAATAATAATAATAATAATAATACTGGTGGTATATGACATCTGAAAAACTCTCTAAGATATATACAAAGAGCTCCGGTATTTGCTGGTGATCTAGATATCCATTCATTTTTATAAGAATTATATTGCTGTAAGAAACTCACTACTACCTTTTCTAAAACATTTCTGGTCCCAAGCATTTTGGATAAGGGAAACTCAACCTGTACAGTAAAATAGAATTGTTTGCCATCAGTAACTGTTGTAACTAATTGTGATAATTACACATGAAAATATTTCTTACCTTCCAGATTTTTTTGATACATCACACAGTCCTAGACACTTGGGAAGTGTTGGACGTGTGATCCAATACAACAGCCAGCAGAGTGACTTTGTTTGCTATGTACTAATATTGTTGTGTTTCAAATAATAACAGAGTAAAATAATAAATAACAGACTTGAGTATAAATAAGTGGGGCTTTTTCAGTCTTAAAAAGAGGATGAAAAACTTGGCTTATACTCAAGCATATAGGCTACTAGCTGTCCCCTGCTACGCGTTGCTGTGGCCCAGTCTGGTGATCTGGAAAATAAAGTAATGAGAAAGTGTTGGTTTCTAATATATGTAATTTCTTTATGCTTGTGGGTAAATAGTATTTCTTGCTGTTTCTTTGTCAGTGTTGATGTGGAGAGTGTCTGGTTTGCCCACTCTGGAACATGTAACATATCATTGCCCTTTAAGGGTCCCTTTCAAATTTATAATACTATTTCTCTCTCTGTGTGTGAATCATATCTATCTATCTATCCATCTATATCTATGTTTGGATGGCTCTTTATCAGGAGGACTTTGATTACGTTCTTTTGCCCTGATGAAGACAGTTGGATTGGATGGCCTTAAGTATTTTCTGTTGGTCATGGGGGTTTTGTGTGGGAAGTTTGCCCCGATTCTGTCATTCGTGGGGTTCAGAATCCTCTTTGATTGTAGGTGAACTGTAAATCCCACTGACTACAACTCCCAAATGTCAACGTCTATTTCCCCCAAACACCAACTGTGTTCATATTTAGGCATATGGAATTTTTGTGTCAAGTTTGGTCCAGATCCATCATTGTTTGAGTCCATAGTGCTCTCTGGATGTAGGTGAACTACAACTCCCAAACTCAAGGTCAATGCCCACCAAACCCTGCCTGTGTGTTCTGTTGGTTATGGGAGTTCTGTGTGCCAATTTTGGTTCAATTCCATTGTTGATGGAGTTCAGAATGCTGTTTGATTGTAGGTGAACTATAAATCCCAGCAGCTACAACTCCCAAATGACAAAATCATAATTTTTTGAATGATGATCACTCCTTGTGTTGTGACACGTTTTGTTGCCAAATTTGGTGTGATTTCGTTCATTGGTTCTTTTGTTTTTAAGGTACTCATTATGCACTGAGCATTTTTATATATATAGATTCTTAGAGCACTACAGTTTACAAATTCTTATTTGCCTGAAGTTGTCTAATGGTGTACAATATTTTATTTGCTTGATATTGTCTAATGGCTCACAATATTGGAAGTGTTGGTTTATAGCAAAGTATAAATGATATGCACGCCCCTTTCCAATCTATATAATCAGCCCTCTCCCTTCCATCAATATATCATATATTTGCTTAAATTCAGTGTGGAACTATGAGTACTTTTTTCATTACAGAAAGACCCTGTGTTTAAATAACTTAATATGTTGTTCTGTTTTTAAGCAGATAGAAACGTTGCGTTTAACTCCCATCAACTTTCATCAGATAGTTCTGAGAGAACTAGGTTGAATACAGATATGCTTAACCTAATTGATTCAAGGATTCATTTCAATGCTACAACTTCAGAGCATAGTGGAAACAGAGTTGAAAGAAATGAGTACACATCCCCTGTCTTTTTGAATGCTGCGCACAAGCCAGAACATTCTGCAAAAAATGAGATGAATAATATCTCCAGTGAGCATCAAGCAGGACCTAACTGCTCCATTTCGAGCCAGTCGTGCTATTTGAGTTTCTCAGAATTGACTTTGACGAAAGATAACTTGGCTAACTTGAGTTCAACAGGGGATGAAAAATGTGAATCGCTTTGTAAAGAGCAGCAGAAATTTTCCATTCCACCAGAAGATGAGACTGATGGAGATATTAATGTGCATAGTGATGAAGACTTACCCCACTTAATCAATAATCAGAATGACTGCAGATGCAGTGAGCTCGATGATGACTCGCAGTTAGAATATCATAGTGCTGAAGAACAAGACTGTGTTTGTCATAGCTCTTCACATACACAAAACATGGAAACATCACAAACTTTCCACAATAAGGAACTGGCAAGTCATTTGACAGGTGACCAGCCAGAGTTTAATAAATGGAAAAATGAACCTTCTAATATAAGTCACTACTATAGTTTTAGTGAAAGACCAGAAGAACTCTCCCAGATGTTTCAAGATGGCAACTCTAAAGTAGACTATTGTTTTGATTCTGATGGTCAGGAAAGATATGAGACTGTTAATATGTTTTATAGTAACGAAGATTTAGATGGTAAGCCTAGTAGAGAAAAGAAGGATCTAAATTCCTTCCTAATGAGCAAATGTGGATTTGATGGAAAAACCAAAGCAAATTCTCTTACAGATACAGTGCAGATCCTTGTGTCACCTGCACTTACCTCCAGCAGTGAGTCAGATATTTTGGATCCTTGTGCTCATGAACAATCCGTTGCGCTTAATAGCCATGAGATTTGTACCTGCAATTTGCATGGAAGATACAAAGAGAGCTTTCCTAACTCAGAGCTAAAGAGAGTCAAAACTAGTACAGTTACCCAAGATGTTGATGCAACTTCTGATTTTAGAGCTTGTTTTACAACAAGTCGAGCAACTAATGTTAAGGTCTCAGTGATGACCAGGGCACAAAACACCACCATAACAATGATGAACAAAGAGAGGCCTAATGATTGGCTGACAGGTTCCCACAGAAGTGTTGGCTGCAATACAGATTGGACATGCATTTCTGAAAACGCAGACACAACTGATTCACAAATAGAATTTACTGACATGTTGGAAAATTGCAGGTGGAAACCCATAACTGAGGTAATTTTGTCAAACACCTTATGAAACTAATGTTTTGCATCTAACAAATAAAAATTTATATTCCACAAATGGCCTTCAACTCACACAACTAACTTCTCTCTAAATCTTCTAACAGTCCAAGGCAGGTAGAGACAGGGAAACTTTTTTCTTTCACTGACAGAAACTTTTTCTTAGCAAGTGATGTTTTGTATTGATGTTGTTCACCGCTTTGAGTCGCCTGAGGGCTGAGAAAAGCGGTATATAAAATAAATAAATGAATGAATGAATGAATAATAAAGTAGGCTGTACCTTGATACCTTGACCTAAGAGTTCAATTCATTCCATATCTGAGCTCTTAACTCAAATTAAAGTTTCCCGTTAAAATGCTATTAATCAGTTCTGGCCCTCCGACACCCCCTCTCCAAATGTTATGTATTTTTAAAGAAGAAAATGTGCTCTGTAAATAAAAAAATGTATAAATTAATATGGAACAATAAAAAGAAAGATGAATTTTAAAATGGTAGACGCACAAAGCCAAGAGGCAGAAACATCATTTTCTTCATACTATACTCATTCCAGCCTCCCTCACTCACTTGCTCTCTCCCTCTCCATGAAACCAAACATACCAGGAATGAAAACCACACAAAATAAACTAACCCAAGTTCCTCAAAACAGACAAGAGCAAAGCAGACAGCAGTCTTCCAAAGTGGACAAGAGCATGAGGCACAGAGGCTGCTCCCTTAAAGCCCTAAAGCCCCTTACTCTCTTGCTAGCACTCCCTTTGGCACCAGCTCTTAACTCAAAATGCTGCTTTATGTCAAAGTGAAACCTGGGCCAAGCAACAGCTCTTAACTTAAGAGCATCCCAACTTAAGAGAATTTTAAGTAGAGGTTCCAGTGTAGATGGATTCTCCTTTCTGTGATAAAGCTAGCCTTAAATCTAGCTGGTGGCCACAAATGCATGGAAACTGACTTCTCTGGGCTGCATCTAGTATTCCATAAGTGGAATTCCAGTTGCCCAGTGACATTTCCCTGTGCACTTTCCCCCATGTACTTCTTTTCAGAAATAATCTATAGAAGTTAAATTTTGCGATCATTTAAAGCAGGGGTCCTCAAACTAAGGCCCGGGGGCTGAATGCGGCCCTCCAAGGTCATTTACCCGGCCCTCACTTAGGGTCAACCTAAGTCTGTAATGACTTGAAAGCACACAACAACAACAACAACAATCCTATCTCATCAGCCAAAAACAGGCCCACACTTCCCATTGAAATACTAATAAATTTATATTTGTTAAAATTGTTCTTCATTTTAATTGTATTGTTTTTAAGTGGTTTTTGCACTACAAATAAGATATGTGCAATGTGCATAGGAATTCATTCATGTTTTTTTCAAATTATAATCTGGCCCTCCAGTTTGAGGGACTGTGACGTGGCCCTCTGTTTAAAAAGTTTGTGGACCCCTGAAGGAAGATACTAAATTCCTTTAGTGTTATGACCTTTCTATACATAATTTTTCTATACATAGTTTTATGCTGAATTTTTGCATGGGATTTGGGAGTGATAAGCGGTTTCATGAACTTGCAGAACTGAGGTCCAGAATATGCTTGCAGTGTTCAGACTGCACTTTTTCCACTTCTAAAATTGTTTGGTGGGGTAAACATTGTTTTTCCTGTCCGAAAACTAACAAAACAACGAGATATTTTGTAGCAGTTGGATATCTTGCTGAGCTTGTTAAATCTACATTCCAGTAGCTGACTTTCCAGCTTTAAAATTTATCTTTCCAGGATCCTTTGGAGTGCAAAAACAGTACAAGCAAAGAGTTCAATGAAATCCCCAAAAGGTACACAGCCACTCTTAATTTCAGTAAATACTTGTGAATATGTCAATCTCATGTAAAAGGCAAGGGGAGGATTTGGGGTCAGACATAGATTTTAGTATGATCCACGGATAAGGTTTTCTTAGTACAGAGAAAGTTATTGACTTTTTCCACTCTATTCAGAAAGAAAGTACTGTACTTAGAATAACTTGGTGAGTCATCCCAGATTTTTGTGTTGATTTTTTGACTAACATTTCTAGACTTTTACTGTTTATTGTTATTGCTTAATGTTTTGATTTGCTTTATGGTTTATGTGTATTGTTGTATTGTTGTTTTATTGAGGCCTTGGCCTTTGTAAGCCGTATCGAGTCCTTCGGGAGATGCTAGCGGGGTACAAATAAAGTTAATAAATAATAATAATAATAATAATAATAATAATAATAATAATAATATAAGCATATGTAATATATAGCTTTATTTTCTTTTACCATCTTAAAAGATGCATTTATTTTGTCCAGAGTTTTGTGACAAGAAAGAGTTCAGGGAAAGTCAATTTTGTCAGTTTCCTCTCCATTTTACATTTCTGCCAATTTCAGAAGATTGGAGGATGTATACAATGCTGAATAGATAATGAAATACCTGCAAATTTCTCCTTCATGATGAGAAGCTTCGGATGAATTATTTTGTGAATGTTTGCCCTGAGTCCAAACCCATGACTATTATATTTAGGTCAGAAAGTTGTTGCTTAAAATTGAATGCCTAATTTAGGGTATGGGCATGTCCTTTAATCAGATATTCTGAAAGCTGTTATTAATGCTGTATTTAAAAATAGAAATGATGACTCATTTTCTCAGTCAATAAAAACAGGTGGTACAGCTCACCTGTCTTTAGTAATACAGATTTCAAGAAGAATCTTCCAGTTCCTATCTGATGATAATAGAATTAAATATTTCTGTTGAAGGCTGATGCATCTTTATCAGGAAATAAGTGATCATTTGCCAAAATGCTGCAAGGAGATATGCCAGAGAGCCGTAAAGGCTGAAATGCAGCTTCTAAAAAGCATCTACCGAATGTATAGTCATCACTATGTGCAGACTTCTAAAGACGCTATGAAAGAAAAAGATGTAAACAGGTATGTATGGAACCCTTCTAAAATGCTTTTGTGATATAAGAAAGTGTGGCATGGGCAGAAGTTGTTAAGTAACTAACATTTGACAAAATCAGAGGGTAATTACATTTATGTTTAGGCAATAATTTCTGCTGTATTCAGTGTGATTCACTCCCAGGAATGTATCTATAGACAGGGCAACAGAGCAATTTCCTGCAGTGTAAGGTGTATCACTTTAGCTCATTCTCCTTGTATATTGAACCTTTTCAACCCTAAATTGATACCCAGGCAACATTCTGGAAAAGATCATTAAGGAAGTGGTCTGCAAACACTTAAAAACAAATGCAGGCATCGCTAATAATCAACACGGGTGTACCAAAAACAAGTCATGCCAGACTAATCTGATCTCTTTTTTGATAGAGTTACAAGATGGGTAGATGCAAGGAATGCCATGGATGTAGCGTATCTGGACTTCAGTAAGGCTTTCGACAAGGTCCTTTATGACCTTCTGGCAAGGAAACTAGTCCAACATGGGCTAGGCAAAACTACGGTTAGGTAGATCTGTAATTGGTTAAGCGAACGAACCCAAAGGGTGCTCACCAATGCTTGCTCTTCATCCTGGAAAGAAGTGACAATGGAGTGCCGCAGGGTTCTGTCCTGGTCCTGGTCCTGTTCAATATATTTATTAATGATTTAGATGAAGGGATAGAAGGCATAATCATCAAGTTTGGAGATGACACAAAATTGGGAGGGATAGCCAATACTCCAGAGGACAGGAGCAGAATTCAAAACGATGTTAACTGATTACAGAGATGGGCCAAACCTAACAAAATGAAGTTCTACAGTGCAAGATGCTCCACTTTGGCAGAAAAAATGAAATGCAAAGATGCAGAATGGGGGATGCGTGGCTCTAGAGCAGTACGTGTGAAAAAGGTCTTGGAGTCCTTGTAGACAATAAGTTAAACATGAGCCAACAATGTGATGTGGCAGTAAAAAAAATGGGATTTTGGCCTGCATCAATAGGAGCATAGTGTCTAGATCTAGGGAAGTAATGCTACCCCTCTATTCTGCTTTGGTCAGGCCACACCTGGAATATTGTGTCCAATTCTGGGTACTGCAATTGAAGGGAGATTTTGTCAAGCTGGAATGTGTCCAGAAAAGGGTGACTAAAATGATCAGGGGTCTGGAGAACAAGTCCTATGAGGAGTGGCTTAAAGAGCTGGGCTTGTTTAGCCTGAAGAAGAGAAGGCTGAGAGGAGACATGAATGAGGGCCATGTATAGATAATTGAGGGCAAATCATAGGGAAGAGGGAGCAAGCTTATTTTCTGCTGGCCTGGTGACTAGGACGCAGAACAATGGCTTCAAACTACAGGAAAGGAGATCCCATCTGAACATTAGGAAGAACTTCCTAGCTGTGAGAACTGTTCAGCAGTGGAACTCTCTGCCCTGGAGTGTGTTGGAGGCTCCTTCTTTGGAGGCTTTTAAGCAGAGGCTGGGTGGCCATCTGTTGGAGGTGCTTTGAATGCGATTTTCCTGTTTCTTGGCAGGGGGTTGGACTGGATGGCCCACCAGGTCTCTTCCAACTCAACGAGTCTATGATAAATGTTTCTTCTGAGCTAAACTGGGGTGTACACATGCCTACCAAGCATACAAAGCACAGCTGAATGTTGTATATATGTACTCAGATGCAAACCCCACTGAAAAGATTTCAGGCATGTGAAACAGGTTTTTTGTGCAGTATAGAAAATTCTCTGCATTTTACAAAATGAAAGCTCTGATAAAAGTTTAAATGAAGATGAACAGAGCATTTAGCATATCTATAATAATGTTACATTGGTTCATAACGCACATTATAAATACTACTGCTTTATTTTTAGTTTTGATTCTGCAGTAAGCTCTGTGTCAGAAATTTCATTGTCAGAGAACATGGAAGGTTCGTTGCACTCCTTAGTAAGTCTTCTAATTTATTATTTCTGTGATCTTTTGAAATTAAAACTATGATGTATTTTAAGCAATGCCATATCAGGAATCAGTGATATACCTAATATTGTAGTTACGATAAATAATATGTACTATTGTACCCTTTAATATTGTAGTTGTGCTTCTATATTACTGAAAATAGCAAAGTATATTTTTATCTTTGGTATTTATTAAATTGGTTCTATATGCAGTCTTACACTGGGTCCAGTCTGTCTCAGGATGAGACCTATTTCTGGGTCATGTAGGATATTCCACTTCCTGAATTACTAGAAATGGGAGGAGCTGCCTTACTCATTTTATATTTATCACAGTCTTTTAAAAAATCTAGTATTGAACATAAACATTTAACTGTGTTGTTTCTCTGACTTATGCCTTCCAATTTCTGCCCAACATGTGCAGGGAAGGAAAGAGGGGCAGTTAGCAGACTTCCCTGTCAGAGCACTACAGAGGCAGCAGCTTTCTTAAATGGAGCAAGCCTCAACATTACAGGAGGCCTGTTGCTGCTCTACTCTATTTACTTTACAGTATTGCAGAGAACAAAACTGAATATCTTTTTTTCCAACTAGGTTACACATCAAATGAGTGAAAAATTCTCCCCTTCTAACAATAATGCAAAGGAGTGGCAAAATGATCTTACAGAAAATGGTAAGTTTGTCCTTTGTCTAAAAATCTGAGGTACGGTGATTCTGATATACTTTTATGTCATAAAGCTTTGTTATTAGGATTGTAGCTATTATACTGAAATGAAAGTAGCAGTGTTGATCATCGGATCACTTTCAAAGTGATGGTTCTCACCTTTAAGGCCTTGCATGGTCTGGGACCGATGTACCCGAGGGACCGCCTCACCCCCTACCAACCCCAGAGATCCCTCCGTTCTGAGGACCAAGATCTATTGGAAATTCCCAGTGTCAAACCTTGCGTCTAACAGCAACCAGACGCAGAGCCTTTACAGCAGTGGCACCATCACTTTGGAATACTCTGCCACCTGAAGTCCATGCCTTGCGGAACCTTACAGGGCATGTAAGACATACCTGTTTCGACAGGCCTTTGATCTCTGACAATGTTGTTTTAAATTGTTTTTAAATTGTTTTAAATTGTTTTTAAATTGTGTTAGATTTTAGCCTGTTCTTGTAAGCCGCTCCAAGCCCTGGGGGAGTGGCAGCATATAAGTTTGAATTATAAATAAATAAATAAATTTAAAAAAAAACAGAACAAAATAAATAGGCAGTTCCAAAGCATTGTGCAAGCTCTTGTCTTTTCTAAAAATCTCTAATTTTGCATTGTCAAAGGTTTTCATGGCCGGAATCACTGGGGTATTGAGTGGTTTCCAGCCTGGATAGCCGTGTTCTTTTTTTTTTTTAACTTTAATTTTTATTGATATAATATATAGATACATCGAAAGTGGGGGAATATTGTGAAGAAGATAGCAAAGTAGGAAATATCTTAGATCACAAAACATCAGAGAGAGAAAAGAAAAAAAATACAGAAAAAAATAAAAACAAAGCGGGGGAGAGCATACGCACACACACCCAAAACAAAACATATTCCATCTAGTCTTTGAGGATCTTTAAGGACCGTGTTCTAGAAGCATTTTCTTCTGATGTTTCACCTGCATCTGTGGCTGATGATTTTTTTAAAATGCCAGCCACAGGTTCAGGCGAAACGCCAGGAGAAAATGCTGCTAGAACATAATAAAATAATAATAATAATAATAATAATAATAATAATAGTAATAGTAATAGTAATAATCATAATAACAACTTTATTTATAGTGGAACTCTCTGCCCCGGAGTGTGGTGGTATATTCTTGCTAGTTTGTATTTGAGTTTAAACTATTTATAATTATATGAAGGATCTTCAATTTTTGAAGAAACTGCTGAAGACTGGTTTGATGCCACGGAGAACCTGTCAACGAGTGATGCTTCACTGTCAAATACAGGTCAGTTAAGACTAACAGGTGGGTGTTGGCTATGTATGAACAACAAGGACACTATCATGCTTTGTTTGCTTTTGTTCCAAGTATCACTGTAAAACTTCCTTGTATCTGTTTTTGGTCTTACAAGGAAGCTAGCCCTGTACAAGTTTGAGTTTTAGAACATTCTGTAAATCTAGCAAGTGAGTTAGTGGTTGCTGTTCCCCTTATTATACTCATTTCTAGGAGGATATTCTCTTGCTTTTCTTCGTGGACTCTGAATGCACACATGTGGAGTATCTGCGCCTGTGCAGGCTCCAACTAAAAACCAAAGTTTTGGCAGTAACCCCGTCCAGTCCCCTCTGCAGGGCATAAAAGGCGCCCTGCACGCACGCTCCGCAGTTCCTGTTTTTCCACCACAAAGCTTGCTTTGGAAACTTCCTTTCCAATGTCTACGACGCGCTTCAAGCATTGATCCCAGTGTTCGAGTAAATTCCCGACAAGCACTCGAAGTGCCTCCTTTGCTTGGGCGAAGCCCATGTTATTTCTTCCTGCCGCATTGCCAGTCGCTGATGGCTCAAGCCAGGAAGAATAGGGTTGCTCGCCTGAAGTATCTTCTTTATCAGCAAACCCTTGCTCCTTCGGCGTCAACGGGCCCGCCACCCTCAGAACCCACTACTTTGTCGGTGGCTCAACCGCCAGTGAAACCCCAGTCAACTACCTTGACAACTTTGAAGTTCTTGAGGCAGACGAGGCAGTTGAAGATGGCTCAGTCCAAACAGCCGTGCACTTTAACAACGGAGACAGTACAGCCTCAACAGTCATCGGCATTGAGCTCGGTCCCATCCGCTCACTGTCATGGGTGCTTTGAATGCAATATTCCTGCTTCTTGGCAGGGGGTTGGACTGAATGGCCCATGAGATCTCTTCCAACTCTATGATTTTATGACACTGTCATCTTCTACAGCAATCCAGATTGCCTTTAAGAGGGCACACGAGGAGTCTCGCCGAGTGCAGACAGCATCGATTTCTCCGGTCCCTCAGACTCCTGGTAGGTCTCTGGCTGCATTGACTGCTGCTCGGCTGCCGGCAAAGAAGAAAGCCCTGCTTCGCTTGTCCTTGACATCGTCAAAAAAGACTACAACGGCATCTTCAGCAACCTACTGATGCCTACTGAGAGGCAGATAGTAACATTATTAGTATTATACTGAAAGATGAACAAATACATTAAGTATGTTCAAAAACAAATTCTTATTTTTATGTTCAAAGTAAAATGGTTTCAGTAATAACTGTTCAAATTCTAGCTTTATAACTTGCTAACTAGCTGTTACATTTATTTTATCTAACTAATATGAGGCATTTGTGTAACCAGCTCAGTAGTGTCATATGTTTGTTTTGGTGATTTATTTATTCGAATAAATTTTTATCCCGCTTTTTTCCCACACCAAGGCGAGACTCAAAGCAGCTAACAATACAATAAGAACATACCAAGTAAAATTTGTTTTGTTTGAGAGTGTTGCTTTGGCCCAATCCATGTGGGATTTTCAAAATTGCTTCAGAAACTAGTTTTTACAAAAGTTAGGCCTAATGTATAATAACACTATATAACAAAATTTGAAAAAAAAATACGTTCCTGCTTTGAAAGCTTCTGTCATATTAACCCCTACATATACCTGCCTGAGAACTAAATCTGCGGGAGTGCCTCTTCCTCCCATTTGGTGGGACAAACTGGAAAAAAGCCTCAGCTTTGGTCCTACAGTTATGGAATGGCACCCCACTTCCTGCCCTCCTGACATCCCAAGAGCTCCAATAGTGGTTTCTTTCTGGTACCAATTTTAATACACAAATGAAGCTGTAATGTTCTGTAAAACTTAATACTGAAGAACAAACTACTTAAAGAAGACCTACTGAAAAGAATGGAACTTGTTGGTACAAAGGCAAGTTCCAGTGGAATTTGTTGGAGTGGCACTAAAATTGAGTTTAACACATAAAAGTTCCATAAATGATAGTTTTCGCAATGATTTTTGGTCCATTGTGTAGTCATATGCTTGGTTAATTTTTTAAAACCTTTTTTTCAATTTCTAGAAATGCAAACTACAGATGGCATAAAAAAGGCATCAAAGAACATTGCTTTTGTCCATGTTGGCAATTTAAGTCCCTTAGTATCAGAAGTAAGTCAACTTTATTACAGTATTATTACTGAAATCATAATTTCAAAGTATGAACAATCAGTTTATTTCACTTGACGTCGCATCACTGTATTTCAATTTTTTTTTTTGTCTATTGTAGGTTGATCTGTGGCTTCATTTTCATACATACAATGTTTCTAATATTTCGATTTGTGGACTTTCTGAGAATTACAGGTACATATAGGATAATGAGGGGTTTTTTTTAACTTGCAAGCTGTGAATCCCATTCTTTTCCAGCTCTGGCTTTATCTCATTGTTTACTGCAAGCATGTTGATGCACTCTGACATCAAATGTCTGTGTGTCTCCAGCCCGCTTCCTAGTGCTAATATTAAAAACAAAACAAAAAATGGAAGTATAATAAGATATTGTAAAAAGGAGATTGTCTAGCAAGAGCTTTTGTTAAATGAGTTATATCTGGATTTAAGAGATGGTATTAAGTATACTCTACACCTACTGTATTGAAACAATTGATAAAATATCTCGGTTCTATCAAATACTTTTTCTTAAATTTTGGCACTTATTTTACATTTAGATATGCATCCCTTAGTTTCAAATCAGCCTCTGATGCCAGTCTGGCAGTGAAAGAAATGAATGGGAAACCAATAAAAGGAAAAGTAGTGAAGGTTCGACTTGTAAAAACTGCCAGAGAAAATGGAGTCTCACATTGTAAGAGTTCTGTGCAACCAGAACATGAATACCAAAGACTGCAGACTTGTTCTGAGAAGACTGGAAACAACTGTAATATGAATTTAAAAGAGCCTCCTTCTGGCTTAGCGGCTCCTAGAGTGGTTGATTCTAGTTCTGTCGCCTCAAAAAGACCAGATGCGTCCAAAGATTTGCCTACTGTGTCAAATGTTCGTCCACCCATTTTGGTATCTTCACAACTGCCATGTCATGCATCTTCCACTTCCAAAGTACCTGACCCTGGTTTCAAATACTCGAAACCTTCATCAAAAAATGCATGCTTTGAAAAAGATCAGCAGGTAACTTCTTTTCATATAGGACCCTTTTTCTCATGTAAGTTTCAGTGCGGACATAATACTACTGAAAGCTCAACTGATATTTAAGGAATTGGACCCAAGCTGTGGCATTATGGTGTCCCATTCTGGAACACTGCCATTAACTGCATACAGGGATAAACACTAGGCTTGTTTGATAAAAAAAATGGTTCAAAACTCGTTTTGGATGTTTTGGCTGGCCAGGCCCGTAGCCAGGATTTCAATTCCGGGGGGGGGGCTGAGATTTTTTTCAGGGGGGGTTTCAGGTGGGGCTGAGTTTCGGGGGTGGGGGGGGCTGAGTCTGAGTGAAAGAGGGTCTACCCTAGCAAACCTTTTGTATCATTACCCCAGTACCCCCATGCATATGGGATATATTGAGTATGGTGATCAGATCATGATATGAATAAACATAACAGTTTAAATAATGCACCAGTAAGGCCTTTTCGTGAACCACCACGAGAATTTCGGGGGGGGGGGGGCTGAAGCCCTTAAAACCCCCCCCCCCTTTCTACATGCCTGTGGCTGGCGATTCAATTTTGAAATGATTTCTGAAATTTTCTGGAAAAAAAGATCGGAAATATCAAAAATTTCCGAATCGCTCCGTTAATTGCAGGTGTCTTTGCAACCCGCCATGCCCTTCCCCCTGTTTTTGACGTTTTTGTCCCTGACCAGGATTTGAACCGGGAAGGCTTTTGTTTCCAAGGCGGGAGCTCTGCCAGTAGGCTATTTTGTTGCCATTGACTTGCATGGGAGAATAGGAACCTTTATCTTCTCTCGATCCCCATCCCCTGCCAAGATGTTTCTTTGTGTGGTCTTTGCACTGTTTCTTTATATGGTCTTTACTTTGAAAGTAGTTGTTCTACTTCAGAAACTTTGTGTAGCACAAACTGCGTTAATTTGGGGGAGAACAGAAATCATATACAGAGCAGACCCCATCAAGGGACATCTGGACTGACCCCCTTCTTTGGGATCAAGAATACGGTTTCTCACCAAAGGGAAGGGAATGGGTTTCAGAACCATTAAGCAAGCAACTTTGGTAAAGCCTAAACAAACAGTTTTAAAATCTTGCGGTTTCCCTTCCAGTGGTGAGTGGTGATGCAAAGACTCTGGGATGAGGTGGGCATGGCTAAGCACAACTCTTCTTGAAGGCCACGTCCCCAGTGGTAGAGATTGCAAAAGGTCCTGTAGTTTGGACTTCAAGAAGAGCTGTGTTTAGCCACAGCCACCTTGTCCCTCTTTGCATCGCCGCCACTCGCCAGGGAAGGGAAACTGCGAGATTTTAAAACCATTTGTTTAGGCTTTGCCAAACTTGCTTAATGGTTCTGACAATCAAAATAACTGTGGGAGACATCCGAAAATAATTCGGAACAATGGGTAAGTGGTTCAAATTCGGAATTGCTCCTCCCACTATACCTGCATGGTTCGAAATTGGTTCAAAAGTCCAAATTCAGTATGTTTTTCCAAATTTTAGGTTTTTCCAAACCGAACCTAACAAGCCTAATAAACACCATTCATGTTTCAAGTTTTCTGATATCCAAGTTTAAAATAACTGTTATTGACTTCAATTACAGTTAATATTAATAATTATTGTGCCTAGACCTGATAGAGAAAACAGAGGTTTTTCTACCCAATTATTACTGTCAATTACAATACATAACACTATGTAATACATTTTAATGTATATTTAAAACTATTTTAATTTATGATAATTGTATTTTATGCTATGTTATTATATTATATCGGCATTGAATAGTGCCTGATGGGAGCTGTCCTGAATCTGTCATCGGTTGAGAAGGATGAGATAGAAATATTCGAAATAAATAAATAAAATATGTTTTTTGTTCCTGGATTATAAATGTCATTTTCTAATTGGTCCTATCATTAAAAACATGGAAAAGGTTTATTAAGCTTCAAAACTTTGTTTTTGCGGGACATCCCAGTAGCACATTTTGCTATCATTTTTTGATGAATATCTTGTTGAGCAGAGGTCCTCAAACTTTTTAAACAGAGGGCAAGGTCACAATCCCTCAAACTGTTGGAGGGCCGGATTATAATTTGAAAAAAAAAATGAATGAATTCCTATGCACACTGCACATATCTTATTTGTAGTGCAAAAAAACCCACTTAAAAACAATACAATAATTAAAATGAACAATTTTAACAAATATAAACTTATTAGTATTTTAATGGGAAGTGTGAGCCTGCTTTTGGCTGATGAGATAGGATTGTTGTTGTTGTTGTTGTTGTTGTTGTGTGCTTTCAAGTCATTTTAGACTTAGGTTGACCTTGAGCGAGGGCTGGGTAAATCACCTTATTCAGCCCCTGGGTTTGAGGACCCCTGTTGTTGAGTCTTAACCAATTCAACACAGTTTATGACAGCCACAAATACAAAGTTTTGGCAGTATAAGAGTTACTTTCAAAGTAAGTGCCACACAATTAAACAGGAAATAACACTTTCAAACCAGGAACAGTATTTTTTTTTCAAAATTTGTTATATAGTGTAACATTAAATAAGTGGAACTGATTTTTATTCCTCGCTCATCAAGTTCCTGTTGATTCAGTGGATCTAGCTGGAAACAGCCTAAATACACTAAAGGTACCATATCCTGTTTGATCTTAGGAGCTAAACAGAGGTAGCCCTGGTTAGTACTTGGATGGGAAACTGCCAACAAATAGCAGGTGCTGTAGACTATATTTCAGAGGAAGGAATACTACCTCTGAGTATTGGTTGTCTAAGAAAACCTTATGCTATAAATCGATGAGCAAAGTGAAGGCAAGTACACATCTAAGTCTGATTGAGATTAAGAATTGGATTTAAGGGTCCATTATCAGTAGTTCTGTTGTGCACATGTGATATTGTGTGACTCGAGGCTACACTTCTGGAACAAGAAAGGTCTGTGTATGCTATTTACACAGAACTTTCCGAACACTTATTCCAGAGACAGTAGCTGGATCTCCATATAGTTGAAAAGTTGTGCAGTTAGAATTTTCTCTTGCTTAGGTTATTAAATTGTTTGTATAATTTTTACCTAGGATGTTGCAGAGAGCCGTTTGCCACTGGGCTCAGTACAATGTAATGGGTTTGTATTTCCCAAAACATTGAATTTTAAATGCTTCCGCAAAATAGTGAAAAGCCTAGAAGTTTTACATCCAGAGGTCAGCAGGTAAGTATAATGTTTGAAGGTGAAATTCATGGGATGCATTAAATAGTATAATTTAAGCTTCTCTTAGATACTATAAGTTTTCTCATTATTTTTAGGGACAATATTGTGAATGCTTTGCTGGAGGTAAAAGAACAAAAGGGCGTACTTCGTGGCTTTCCCCTTAGTACTATTGTGGGAATGGCATCATCCCTTCTGAATAAAAAATTTACATCAAAATGTGAGGAGAGTCGAGACAACAGCCTGAGAAATAAATAGGTGGGTATATAAAATGCTTGAAATTGTAATGTTTAAGGCTGTTTAATCTGACAAATACCTTCCAACAAATAGCACTGATACTGATAATAATTCATGTATCTCTGTTGGATTTTAGTTTAATATTAAACATGCTATAAATGTACTTGCTGGATTACAAAATGTTTAGCTCTGGGTATATCTTGAACACAAATAGCCACTGTTTTTATGGAACACTAGCCTTCCCCTGCCACGCATTGCTATGGCCCAGTCTGTGTATATGTGTTTTGTGTGTGTGTGTATGTGTATATGGGCATATATGTGGTATTGCGCATGTGCTGTAGCATATTTTTGCTTTTTTGGCTTTTGGAGTTCCTTCCGCTGAGTTTTTCAGTATTTTTATAAGTGACTAGCCATCCCCTGCCACGCATTGCTGTGGCCCAGTCTGGTGATCCGGAAAATAAAGTAATGAGAAAGTGTTGGTTTCTAATATATGTAATTTCTTTATGCTTGTGGGTAAACAGTATCTCTTGTTGTTTCATTGTCAGTGTAGATGTAGAGATTGTCTGTTTGCCTACTCTGGAACACGCAACATATAATTGTCCTTCTTTATGAGTCCCTTTCAAATCTATAATACTATATGTGTGTGTGTGAATCATATATATCTATCTATAACTATGGCTGGATGGCTCTGTCAGGAGGGCTTTGATTACGTTTTCTTGCTCTGGTGAAGGGAGCTGGACTGGATGGCCTTAAATATGGAGGTTCTGTTTGCCCCAGTTCTGTTGTTGGTGGAGTTCAGCATCCTCTTTGGTTGTAGGTGAGCTATAAATCCCAGTAACTACAACTCCCAAATGTCAAGGTCTATTTCCCCCCAAACTCCATCTGTAATCATATTTGGGCATAAGGAATATTTGTGCCAAGTTTGGTCGAGATCCATTATTGTTTGAGTCCACAGTGCTCTCTGGATGTAGTTAAACTACAATTCCCAAACTCAAGGTCAATGCCCACCAACGCTTCTAGTGTTTTCTGTTGATCATAGGAGTCCTGTGTGCCTCGTTTGGTTCAATTCCATCATTGGTGGAGTTCAGAATGCTCTTAGATTGTATGTGAACTATAAATCCCAGCAACTAAAACTCCCAAATAACAGAATCAATTTTTGAGTGATGGTCACTCCTTGGGTTGTAAACGTAGGTTGATATTTTTACTGAGTAATGGGCACATTCAGTGCCTATGGGCAAGCCATAATGTCTCAGCCTTAATGTTCAATTTGAATTACAATAGTAGCAGGTGTTACCTCTGCTTTCAGTGAATAAAATGTTGTGTTTCCACTATCTGTTTTTGATAAGGCCAACTGGCTAATCAATAAAAATTGTTGTTGTTGTTGAGAAAAAACTCCTGAAAGAAGACTTCATCAAGTATTACCTGCCACCATTTTTACACTTTGTTATCACATATAAAATAATAAAATTTTGCTATAACCTTTTAGCTTTTAAGAATAAAGCATAACCTTATAATGCAGGAACTGTTGGAGAGCTTTATTTAGTTATTTCAGAGATGTTTCCTAACCTCTTCCACACCTTTGTCTGTCAAAATCTAGCTTAACAATTTAGTTCATTCTGATTCCTAACAAAAGGAGGGGAGGTCATTTTGGGTTATCCCTTCATTTAAAATACTTTGCTGTACAGTACATCCCATGTCTTTCTCTTATTACCAAAGCTGGACAAGTTGGCACTTCTCTTTATATAAGATCTCAAATTAGGACAAATTCCCTGGGAAGAAGGGAGCCCCAGAGGCAAGGGGCAGCGATCGAAAGAGAAGACCCTCTCTTGTGTCTCCACCAATTGTCTTTGCAGTGTTGGTCGGACTGAGAGAAGGGCTTCTCCTTATCTCCATATAATATTTTGGGCATTAAGCATTTGTTTTTCTCCAGTAGAATGTACAAAGGGAAATCTACCTATATGAATAAAAATGTAATGTTCGTTTGTGGGATTAACATAACTCAAAAACCACTGGACGAAATGACACAAAATTTGGATACTACACCCCTAACAGACCAGTGAGTGACCATCACTCATAACCTCCCCCCCAAAAAACTATAGAAAGGACTTAACCCCCTCCCCCAAAAGCGGAATGATGAAAAGCTAAATGACATACAGAAAAGGAAGAAAGAAGGAGGGAAGGATGGGGAAAAGAAAGAAGGAAGGAAGGAAGGAAAGAAAGAGAGAGAGAGAGAAGGAGGAAAGAAGCAAAGAGCGAAGGAAGGAAGGAAAGAAGTAGAAAAGGAAGAAAGGAGAGAAAGGAAAAGAAAAGGGGATGGAAAGAAAGAGGTAGAGAAAGAAGGAAGGAGAGAAGGAAAGAGGGAGCGAAGGAAGGAGGGAAAGGAGAAAAAGAGGAAGGGAAGGAAAGACAGAAGGAAGGATAAAAGCAAAGGAAGGAAGGAAAGAGGCAGAGAAGGAAGAAAGGAGAAAAGGGGAAGGAAAAGAAAAAAGGGAGGAAAAGGAAAGAAGAAAAGGGAAGGATGGAAAGAAGAGAAAGAGGGAAGGAAAAATGGCCATAGCAATGCGTGGCGGGCACAGCTAGTATATAAATAAAAATGTAATGCTTGTTTGTGGGATTAACATAACTCAAAAACCACTGGACGAATTGACGCCAAATTTGAACACAACACAACTATCAGACCAACAAGTGACCATCACTCACTCATAAAAAAACACTGAAAAACACAGCAGAAGAGACTTAAAAAGCCAAAAAACAAAAAATACATTACAATGCATGTGCAAAACCACATAGATACACAAACACACATATACACAGATACACAAACACATATGTATACACACACATATACACAGACTGGGCCACAGCAACGCGTGGCAGGGAACGGCTAGTAAAATATAAAAATGTGTGCCATAAAGATAGTATATTGAAATTCTGCCATTTTCTGTGACTAAGTATTTCCAAACTAGCACTTTTCCCATTCCTAGAAAACTGTGGCTTTGCAACCATGTGTAGATCTTACGATAAATATTTATGTTCTCTAATAGTTTATCTGTATGTTCACATTGGCAGCTGAAAGAAGAAGCCGTCTTTGCAGGCATGAAGAGAAAACATAAGTTGAAGAGTTGCTGTAACCCTCAGGTCTTTAGAACATATAGACTAAATGAAGGACGAAAAAAAAGCTTTAGGTTGGAAAATATATTGTATTCAAATTTTATTCATGTTATTGTTATTGTTATTGGGAACAAATTTATAAGAAACTTGAGATCCAGTGTTTATTTTCTTAAAAAACCCAAAAACTTTTACCTTAAGTAACTATGGAAATAACCATTTACCTGTTTATTATCTGTATTTTCTATTATTAATTGCTTTTTTATGAGATGATATTTTGTTATTCATATTAATTAAACAGTTTTTGTTTGGAATGGTAATATCAGTAAACATTTGCTGTCAAAAATTTGAAGATGAATTGTTTGACAATGTTATAAGGAATAAATGTCTCATTAAAATTATATTTAACTGTTCTATTTATAGTTCTATATTTAAGACACATATTTCAAGTATCATGGGTTTCAGAGGAAGAGATTAAACAGTGCAAACGAATAGGAACTTTTTCATTTTGGCAACTTTATGCCTTAGGTTAGGCATGGGCAAACTTTCTAACTTGGGGGCTGCATGGCAGGCTGGATCAAGGTGCACGGGCATGAGGGAGGAAGTTCTCCCCAAGCCCTCTCCTCCCCTTCCTCTTCTCTTTCGGAGGCAGAAAGTGTAGGAAAGACAGGAAACGTTTGGATCCTAAAAGGGTTGGCTTTGATCAGGAGAGATGGGGGACAGGAGAGAAAAAGTGTATCCATTAGACCCTGTATTGCCTATTCCTGATATATAATCGTAGAAACGCGACTGGTGGGGACGAGAAACAGAGCTTTCTCAGTGGTGGCTCCTCGTCTGTGGAACTCTCTCCCCAGTGACATCACCTCCCTCCTGTCCTATAGAAAGAAACTCAAAACCTGGTTATGGGACCAAGCATTTAAACCAGGGGTCCACAAACAGAGGGCCAGGTCACAGTCCCTCAAACTGTTGGGGAGCCGGATTATAATTTGAAAAAAATATATGAATTCCTATGCATAGTGTACGTATCTTATTTGTAGTGCAAAAAACACTTTAGAACAATACAAGAATTAAAATGAAGAACAATTTAACAAATATAAACTTATTAGTATTTCATTGGGAAGTGTGGACCTGCTTTTGGCTGATGAGATAGGATTGTTGTGGTGGTGGTGGTGTGCTTTCAAGTCATTTCAGACTTAGGTTGACCCTGAGCGAGGGCCAGGTAAATGACCTTGGAGGGCCGTATTCGGCCCCCGGGCCGTAGTTTGAGGACCCCTGATTTAAACAGTAGCAGTAATCGGGAATAAGATTCAGGGTAATATGTATGACAATGGACTGTCCCTGACATTGATTTTAAACCAGCATGATATTTAATCAGTTGTTTCTGAATGTAATGCTTCACAAAAAGCAATTCTGAATGAGTGTTTCTTGTGAAGCTGCCCTGAGTCCCATCCCGTTCCCCCGGGTGTGTGTGTGAGAAGGACAGGGCACAAATGTACAAAATAAATAAATAAATGATCCGAGAGCTGGAAGAGAGCCCCAAGGGCCATCCAGTCCAGCCCCCTGACATGCAAGAAGGCACAATGAAAGCACTCCCGATAGACAGCCTCTGCAGAAAAGCCTCCAGAGAAGGAGACTCCACCACACTCCCAGGCAGCCTATGCTACTCTCCCAACAGTTCTTGCCCTCAGGAAGTCCTTCCTAATCATTTAGAGAACGTTCTTTCCCTGCCATTTTGAACCAATTGCTTCCTTGATCCTTGGTCTCAAGAGCAGCAGAAAGTCAGTTTTCCCTCTCCTCCTCAATGGGACACCCTTTGAAATCTTGAAATATGGTTCTCGTGTTCCCTCTCTACCTTCTCTTCTCTCAGCTAAACATCCCCCAAGAGGAAAGGAGGGAGGAAAAAGAGAAGGAAGAAAGAGAGGAAGAGAAGGATGGATGGGTGGAAGGATGGAAGAGAGTGAATGTAGGGAGGGAGGAAGGAAAGAGAAGGAAGGAAAGGCAAAAGGGAACGAAGGAAGGAAAGGAGGAGAAAGAGAGAGGGAAGGAAGGATGAAAGAGTGGAAGGAAAGAGGGAGGGAGAAAGAGAAAAGTCAGAAAGGAATGGAGGGAAGAAGAAGAAAGGAAGTATATGATGGTGAGAGAGAGGTGGGCCTGAGAAAAGAGCCCAAGGGGCTGCATTCGGCCCTCGAGCCTGGGTTTGCCTATACCTGCCTTAGGTGATATACTATCAGTCTATTACTAAATTTACAGATCATAAATGACAGTTTTAAAAAAAACATAACCCACCATTATTCAGTTCAACCAAAATGGTGTGAAATATTGTCAAAACCTTTGGGGTGGTACTAAAAGTAGAGGATGTTTGTAACTTGTGGATGGCCTGTAGATGAAAAGTTTTAATGGGAATTCCACATTTAGGAAATGTATCCTTGACAATCAACTTGAAATCACATAGAGGCAGATCCATTCTTAACTTAAACACATTTAGGTTTTGAGTGTGATTCTTCATATAATACAATAGGTGGCAGCAAGAGAAAACATCTCTATGGATAAATGAAAAGCAATGAACTTTGGACCAGCCCCAAAGTTCACATATGGAAAAGCGATGTAATTGGAGATCTCATTCTAGATCCGAGAGTGAGAAATTGCTTTTCAATTTTACATCTATAAACTTCCACTATGTCAAATCATTTCATGGCCCTAGAATTGAACTGAAGTAAGCAGTTGGGTAATTTTGTCACTCTGAAAGAGGAGATATATCTCATTATCATAGAACCAAGAGATTGATCAAAGAAAACAGAAGTATGCGTGGGATTTTCTTAGGAAAGAGGGATCATTTGAAATTGTTGTATTATTAGCTATGGTAAAGTGTCAATTCTCTGCCATTAAGCTGAGCTTGATGGTTCAGTAGTAGGTGCTAGACTTGTGTCCAGATCCGTTCTTTGGCATTTCCTTCAGCCAATCTAGCTTCTTTGGTTAATTTGGGTGTCCATAACGGCATGGCCTGTCCATCATAGATTCCTGTCACGTGGCAGCCAATCCCGTCTCCTCCCCCATTTGGCACCACGGATTACTCTTTCCATTTTTTTTAATTTCTTGATTCTTTTTATTTAGTGGGACTGACTGGGATGTGTGGAACGAGTGGGTGGGCTGCGCGCTTGCACGGCATTTGTGGGCTTCTAAAAGATAATAATTATTAATCCCAGCAAACAAAAAACCCCTAATTCTCTGTTAATACCTAGTTACTTACCTCTCCTCTAGGAGTCCCCGGTGGCGCAGTGGGTTAAACCCCTCTGCTGGCAGGACTGAAGACCAACAGGTCGCAGGTTCGAATCCGGGGAGAGGCAGATGAGCTCCCTCTATCAGCTCCAGCTCCTCATGCAGGGACATGAGAGAAGCCTCCCACAAGGATGATAAAACATCAAAAATCATTCGAGCATCCCCTGGGCAACGTCCTTGCAGACGGCCAATTCTCTCACACGACAAAAAAAACACACACACACAAACCTCTCCTCTAGAATAGAAAATCGAAACAACCTTAAGGAAGCATTACAGTCGTGCAAGTAGGAGGGTCCCAAACCGTTCAGGGCTTTGTAAGTCAAGACTTGCACCTTGAATTGGGCCTAGTAGATAAACGGCAGCCAGTGGAGCTCCTTGAACAGGAGGGTTGACCGCTCTCTGTAATTCGCTCCAGTCAATAGTCTGGCTGCCACCCATTGGACCAGTTGGAGTTTCCAGGCCGTCTTTCAAGGGCAGCCCACATAGAGAGCATTGCAATAGTCCAATCTAGAGGTAACTAAGGCGTGGACCCCCGTGGCCAAATCCGACTTCACGAGGTAACCATCTGAAATCAAAAGTGACTATTTTTATGGACAATTTTGGAGTATCTTGGAATTCTGATTAAGGAAAGTTCCATCTATACTCTGACAGAATGCTGTACAGGAATAAAAGGTTGAGTTTGTCTTGCTTCAGTTTAGTGCAAGGTCTGCAGCATCCTTGAAACATAAGTAGGAACAGCTTTCCACTTCCAATCTTGGCCCTGAGTATGGATTGTGTGGTCCTCCTGGTGTTGAATTCAAGCCCTCAAAGACCTAACCAACTAAGCCAACAACAAGAAGTGTTGGGAGTTGAAACTCAACAAAATCTAGAGGGTCACGTGACTTCCCAACATGACCTATTTGTTGTTGTTATCAACTTTATATCCTACCTAAGAAGAATATTGGACAGCTCCGTTTTCCCTTTGCCTTTTGACCATCTGAAATGGAAAAGGTGCACAGAATAGTGCCAAATGCTCAGAAAGTGTTTCACAATATGCACCTGGGAATATTTTTTTCTTTTTCTTTCCATCCAGTGCTGACACCACTTAAAATAATCCAACCAGAACCACTGAAAGAGCATCACCCCTCCCTAGACCAATGAAAGGAAGCCCACAGCTGCATACTATATACCAGGGGTCCCCAAACTTTTTAAACAGAGGGCCAGGTCACAGTCCCTCAAACTCTTGGAGGGTCGGATTATAATTTGAAAAAAGCATGAATGAATTCCTATGCACATTGCACATACCTTATTTGTAGTGCAAAAAAAAAAAACACAATACAATAATTAAAATTAAGGACAATTTTAACAAATATAAACTTATTAGTATTTCAATGGGAAATGTGGGCCTGCTTTTGGCTGATGAGATAGGATTGTTGTTGTTGTGTGCTTTCAAGTCGTTTCAGACTTAGGTTGACCCTGAGCTAGGGCTGCCGGTTAAATGATCTTAGAGAGCCACATCTGACCCTCAGGCCTTAGTTTGAGGACCCCTACTATATACCTTAGAGCTGTGAACATATAATGCCATCCACTATGTGTTCCCAATTCTAATTTTATGTTTTGGTTGCATGCATTTTTCCTTTTTGAAAAGCTCCTCTGAGTCCCCCCTTGCTCTTTCAACTAGATTCAGAGGTATGTCAACATGTTCCGCACTTTCATTTTGGATCTTGGGTTGCGTGCTTTTAACCGATTGCCATGAAGTTGTTTTTCGTATTGTTTACACCATGGAGATTACTCCAGGAAATGAAACCATCAACAAACAAAGCTAAACAGCACAGGGCCCTCTGCTTAAGGACATGTTGAGACTCACATACTAGTAGGAAAGACATTGCCTTCTTTGGTCGGAAAAAGTCAAGCAGGGATAGTGGCTTGTTGAATGCCTAGGTCTTTCTACCAAACTTTTAAATGTTTCCGATCATCTGGGGAGGGCCTTCTCTCAAGCACATGTGGTAGAAACAAGGGAGAGGGGCCTTTTTGGTGGCTGCTCCCAGACTTTGAAACTCCCTCCCAAGAGAGACCAGGATGACCCTATCCCTGCTGGCCTCCCACAACTAAAGACATTGTAGTGGCAGCAAGCTTTTGATGTAGAGTGTATATATAAATTTTTAAGAAAAAAAGCAGTTTGACACTGCTTTAGCTGCTGTGCTCAATGCTTTGGAACCAGGGACAAGATCTTCTGTGCCAAATGCCACTGCCTCACCAAACTACACATCTCAGGATTCCAGAGCCTCGGGTCCTGGAAGTTAACAGAGGTGTCAATCTGTCTTAATGTTTCAGTATAGATAACTTGTGGATTGGCCTGCCAGAATAGATGCGAAATTGAAACAAGCTTGTCAGAGGGTTGTTGTAGGTTTTTTCGGGCTATATGGCCATGTTCTAGAGGCATTCCCTCCTGATGTTTCGCCTGCATCTATGGCAAGTATCCTCAGAGGTAATGAGGTCTGTTGGAACTAGGAAAATGGGTTTATATATCTGTGGAATGACCAGGGTGAGACAAAGAACTCTTGTCTGTTGGAGCTAGGTGTGAATGTAAAACCTTTCTCTTCCGACAAGCTTTCGATGGGTGAATAAATCGGGACTATGTCTGTTCTTGTTTTACTGTATTTTAAAGTTAATTGTATTGTTTTAATCTACTGCTGTAAACCGCTCCGAGCCAAATTGGGAGTAGCGGTATACAACGCAAATAAATAAATAAATAAAATTGTTTCAACTGGCCACCTTGATTAGCATTTGATGGCCTGGCAGTGCCTGGGGCAATCTTTGGTTGAGAGGTGATAAGATGTCCTTGTTTGTTTCCTCTCTGTTGTTTAGCTGTTGTAATTTTAGAGTTTTTTTAATACTGGTAGCCAGATTTTGTTCATTTTCATGGTTTCCTCCTTTCTGTTAAAATTGTCCACATGCTTGCGGATTTCAGTGGCTTCTCAACCAGACTACTTCAACCAGAGAAGTCAGCCATAGCAGAGCACCTGATGAACCAACCTGGACACAGCGTATTATTTGAGAACACAGAAATGCTGGACCACTCTCACCACCATCATGTCAGACTCCACAGAGAAGCCATTGAAATCCACGTTGGTCCATGTTGGTCATGGGGAGTCTGTGTGGGAGGTTTGGCCCAATTCTATTGTTGGTGAGGTTCAGAATGCTCTGTGATTGTAGGTGAACTACAAATCCCAGCAACTACCACTCCCAAATGTCAATATTCTATTTTCCCCAAACTCCACCAGTGTTCACATTTGGGCATACTGAGTATTTGTGTAGAGTTTGATTCAGATCCATCATTGTTTGAGTCCACAGTGCTCTCTGGATGTAGGTGAACTACAGCTCCACTGGACACTGCCCACCAAACCCTTCCAGTGTGTTCTGTTGATCATGGAAGTCCTGTATGCCATGTTTGGTTCAATTCCATCATTGGTGGAGTTCAGAATGCTCTTTGATTGTAGGTGAACTATAAATCTCAGCAACTACAACTCCCAAATGACAAAATCATAATTTTTTGAGCGATGGTCACTCCTTGTGTTGTGAGACGTCTTGTTGCCAAGTTTGGTGTGATTTCGTTCATTGGTTCATTTCTTTTTATGGTACTCATTATGCACAGGGCATTTTTATATATATAGATAGATAATAATATAAAACAAAAGTAATGCGTGTTTGTGTGTGTGTGTATATATATATATACACACACACACACACATGCACACAAACACACGCATTACTATTGTTTTATTATATTATTTTCTATTATTATCTATTATTATTATTATAAATTATTTATTATTATGAGTTGCAAACGTCGGGGAGAGGAGGTCTTCGGCTTGGGCGTGCTGCTTGGGCTCGCGGCTCCAGGGCTGGCCAATCAGGGCGCTTCTTTCCCGCTGCGGCGCTGCACGTGCTCCCGGGAGGGTTCTGCGCCGCGCGCGCCCGGGGACCAAACCAGTCAGAGAGAGAGCGCCGAGAGAGAGAGTCAGAGTCAGGCGGGGGAGCGAGCGGTCGTCTGCGCTCTCGCTCCCTCTCTTCCCCCGCTGCTTCGGGGAGGGAGGCGCCATGGCTTTGGGGATGCTCGCCCTGCTGAGGCGCTTCTTGTGGCTGAGCCTGGGTAAGTGCTGCTCCCGACCTTGGGTTTTCCTCTGTCTTTGCCTTGGGCTCCCCTGTGAAGGGCGGCGGGGTCGCCAGGTGCTACTGGTTCAACAGCCAGCTAACTAGCATCACCTGGGACTCCCTCGCCTACACCACTCTTAAAGGGACAGGAGCCTTTTCCAGCGGTGGTTGAGACAGCTCTTTCTTCTCGGTGGGCCTCAACAGAAGCATGGGATTAGGGGAAAGGCACCTTTCTTCGCCCCTTCTAGGCTTAGGCAAGCTTGCAACTCGCTGGCAAGTGTAGACACTATGTTCAAATGGGCTTAAAGCATCTGAGAAGTTCCAGTACGATACAAATGTATATTGTATTGATGGATTCTGGTTCCAGGGAAGGAGAAGCCCTATGAGGAGCGGCTTAAGGAGCTGGGCATATTTAGCCTGAAGAAGAGAAGGCTGAGAGGAGATATGATAGCAATGTATAAATATGTGAGAGGAAGCCACAGGGAGGAGGGAGCAAGCTTGTTTTCTGCTTCCCTGGAGACTAGGACGCGAACAATGGCTTCAAACTACAAGAGAGGAGATTCCATCTGAACCTGAGGAAGAACTTCCTGACTGTGAGAGCCGTTCAGCAGTGGAACTCTCTGCCCCGGAGTGTGGTGGAGGCTCCTTCTTTGGAAGCTTTTAAGCAGAGGCTAGATGGCCATCTGTCAGGGGTGATTTGAATGCAATATTCCTGCTTCTTGGCAGGGGGTTGGACTGGATGGCCCATGAGGTCTCTTCCAACTCTAGGATTCTATGATTCTATAAAACTGAAAATTGCTATCTTAAACCGCCAGGCAAGGGAACAAATGCGGCGAGTGTAGTTACTGGGATGTATAGTTCACCTACAATCAAAGAGCATTCTGAACTCCACCAATGATGGAATTGAACCAAATATGGCACACAGAACTCCCACGACGAACAGAAAATATATATCAGTGATTGGTTGGGGGGGGGGGGGGGCCAAAATACTGTTTGCTTACCGTTGAAAATTACCTAGGGCCGCCTCTGGGTCTCTTCCAACTCTTTGATTCTATGATTCTATGAAGGGTAGTAGAGGCTCCTTGGAAGCTTTCAAACAGAGGCTGGGTGCCACCTGTCCAGAGTGCTTTGATTGTGCATTTCCTGCGTAGCAGGGGTTGGACTGACCAACTTTACTTAGGCAATCCCTCATTGTCCAAGGATGATGGTCCTCCCAAGTGTAGTGTCCTGGTGGTGGGTCCGTATGTGGCTGTGGAGCCCTATTCTTGATCTGCATCTTCTTCCGCAGTGAGGGCATTGGTTTCCAGGTGGAAGGCAGTCCCGGTCGGGGTTGGCTTGACGCACCTTCCTCTTGGCACACTTCTCCCTTTTGCCCTCCATTCGTGCCTCTTCAAATTCTACAGCACTGCTGGTCACAGCTGACCTCCAGCTGGGGCACTCAAGGGCCAGGACTTCCCAGTTCTCAGTGCCTCTGCCAGAGTTTTTAAGGTTGGCTTTGAGCCCGTCTTTGAATCACTTTTCCTGTCCTCCAATATTCCGTTTTCCGTTCTTGAGTTCGGAGTAGAGCAGCTGCTTTGGGAGACGGTGGTTGGGCATCTGGACAACGTGGCCGGTCCACCGGAGTTGGTGGCAGAGGACCATCGCTTCAATGCTGGTGGTCTTTGCTTCCTCCAGCACGCTGACATTTGTCTGCCTGTCTTCCCAAGAGATTTGCAGGATTTTCCGGAGGCAGCGCTGATGGAATCGTTCCAGGAGTTGCATGTGACGTCTGTAGACAGTCCACGTCTCACAGGCATATAGCAGGGTTGGGAGGACAATAGCTTTATAAACAAGCACCTTGGTATCCCTACGGATGTCCCGGTCCTCAAACATGCTCTGCTTCATTTGGAAAAATGTTGGACTGAATGACCCATGGGGACTCTTCTAATTCTATGGTACTATCTCAGGCATGGGCAAACTTCAGCCCTCCAGGTGTTTTGAACTCCAACTCCCACAATTCTGGAGGGCCAAAGTTTGCCTATGCCTATACTATAGCCTTATTTTGGGCGCCCCCTTCCCCAATGTCTCTTGGCAACCAATATTTTCAGACCTAGTCTGCCACTGCGGAGCATGACCCTGTGGTCAGAGAATAAATACCGCACAAGGAATTTATTAATGTAATGATAAGGATGGAGTTTGATTAGATAATAGTTCCATATAGCATGGTGTTGGAAGTCATGGGTGGTGGTTCACATATTGTGGGAGTGGGGAAATAATATGTGTATCTCAATTGTTGAATTTTGAAGATGATATGTTCTTTTTTTTTCTTCATGTACCACAATAAAAAATATACAAGAGAGAGAGAATGATTGCAGTTTGACACTGCTTTGACAGCCGTCATTTAATTTGTAGTTTTGGAAGGTCTTTAGCTTTCTCTGCACAAGGGTGCTGGTGCCTCACTAAACTGAAACCCTCATGATTCCATAGCATTGAGCCACGGCAGTTAAAGTAGACTCAAGCTGCATTAATTCCACAGTGTAGATGCCCCTATAAATATTAATCAGTGTACCAGTGAATCTGGCAAGTTGAGTTCTTCAAGTAGCAGGTACTATTCCGTCCTCCTCCTCCTCTGTTTTTTCTTCTTCACTCAGATCTAAAATACCCTATCTTTGACTACTCGAACATTTGACTATTACGGGAATACAAATATATGCATCAGTTGCATCATTGGGCGGGGTGCAGAAATTAAAATGTGGATATGATCTTATCTCTTGCAAACACTGCTTCCATTTATTTATTTATTTATTTATTTATTTGTTGTATCAGGAGTGAACCAAAACAGTTGTATTGCATTAAAAACGAACAAACAAAACACAAAGTTTGCAGACTTGGTATTCTATTAAATGTCCTTTGACCAGTATCTGGCCACTTGGAGTGCCTCTGGTGTTGCTGCAAGAAGGTCTTCCGTTGTGCATGTGGCAGGGCTCAGGTTGCATTGCAGCAGGTGGTCAGTGGTTTGCTCTTCTCCACACTCACATGTCGTGGATTCCACTTTGTGGCCCCATTTCTTAAAGTTGGCTCTGCATCTCGTGGTGCTAGAGCGCAGTCTGTTCAGCGCCTTCCCAGTCGCTTCCATTTATAAATTAGAATACAACAGGAGCACACCTCCACTCACTAAGTGATCTTGGGCAAGTCACACTCTCTCACATACCTTTAGTTTGCTTTTGTTTTGTGTGTGTGTATATGTGTGTCAGGAGTGACTTGAGAAAATGCAAGTCACTCCAGGTGTGAGAGAATTGGCCATCTGCAAGGACGTTGCCCAGGGGATCCCCAGATGTTTTACCATCCTGTGGGAGGCTTCCCTCATGTCCCAAAATGAGAAGATGGAGCTGACAGACAGGAGCTCACTCTGTTCACCTGGGTTCAAACCACCAAACTTTTGGTCAGCAGCCCTGCTGGCACAAGGGTTTAACAAATTGCACCACCTGGGTTTGGTGAGGTATCAGCATTTGGGCAGAGGAAGGCAGTGGTAAAAAAAACTCTCTGAACAGATCACGGCAAGGAAATCCCGGGATTGTTTTTCCTTACAATCACTATAAGTCAGAAATGACCCAAAGGCACTCAAGAACAACATGGATGTGCCTCTTGGTTCCTGTCCATTGTGGGTGATTTTTTTTTTGTCGTGTCAGGAGCGACTTGAGAAACTGCAAGTCGCTTCTGATGTGAGAGAATTGGCCATCTGCAAGGACGTTGCCCAGGGGGCGCCCGGATGATTTTTGATGTTTTATCATCCTTGTTGGAGGCTTCCCTCATGTCCCCGCATGAGGAGCTGGAGCTGATAGAGGGAGCTCATCCGCCTCTCCCCAGATTCGAACCTGCAACCTGTCAGTCTTCAGTCCTGCCAGCACAGGCGTTTAACCCACTGCGCCACCGGGGGCTCCTTGTGGGTGATAAAAGACAACCATTCAGTCTCAAAGAAATCTTAATCCTATCCATTGGGTTTAATTTTCACTTCTGTGGTCGATTTCAGTAGCTGTATTGTTTTGCATTCGTATATGAAAGGTTCTTATGGCACATTTGAGACTGAGACAAAGAAGTTTGTGATGTGAGCTTTTGTGGACCCAATCTGCCTTATCAAATGTGTCTGTGAAAGCTTGTGCTACCAATTTATTTCTCTCTGCGTCTCAAAGTTGCGAAGAGATCCCTTTCTTTGGTATTATGACCCAAAGTATGCCCTGGTAGTTAGAAGGAAAGAGGATGGACAAGCTGAGATGGAGCGAGGGCGAGGCAAATGAGCAACAACAGTAGTCATCACCTTCCCTTTCACTGCAGTCGAGAGAAAGAAGCCAGCACCTCTTCCTTCTTTGGGTGGCCTGCTTCTTAGGGCAGTTGGGGGAATGAATAGGAAAGGAGATTCCATCTGAACATGAGGAAGAACTTCCGGACTGTGAGAGATGTTCAGCAGTGGAACTCTCTGCCCCGGAGTGTGGTGGAGGCTCCTTTGGAAGCTTTTAAACAGAGGCTGGATGGCCATCCGTCAGGGGTGCTTTGAATGCAATATTCCTGCTTCTTGGCAGAATGGGGTTGGACTGGGTGGCCCATGAGGTCTCTTCCAATTCTATGATTCTTTGAGAAGTCAGTGCCCATCTGCTGTTTCTGTTTCTTATTGGAGAAAGAATACCCCAAACCTCTCTACCTCGCCCTGGCCAAGGAGCAACTTCTAATCCGTGGCTTCTGTAGAGTGATAAAACTCAGGAGAGTGAAACTGTTTGGCTGGGCTTTATTTAGGCCAAACAGCATTAGACCAGAAATAGAAAAATGAACTGTACTGCAAAGATCCCCGATGGCAGTCTGCTGTCATAGTTAATATGCTCAAATAGCCTACAGAACAACTTGCTTCTCCCTGACCTCTTCTTTGCTTTCAGCCATCGGCTTTGGTCAAAGACTTTCTTGTCTCTGCTGCTTTTTCCCTTATGGCACTCTCCCTTCTTCATCCTGCAATCCCTAAGGGTTGAGGAT